CGTGATACAAGCATATTTTAAAGAAGTAAAAAAAATCCATGACGTAGGCTATAAATTTGAATGAGTCAAATAAGACGATATTATTTAATTAGATAATAAAATAACATGTACTGAAAGTAAATGGTTCAAAATACACACAAAAAAAAAAATAGTTTTCATGAGAACCTGGAAAAAAATTATTCCAACAAAAAGGAAAATATTAACTAAACTCAATTGCAAGCTAACCCATTGTGAAAAAATAAAACAAAAAGCAAAAAAAAAAATATACATATATATATATTTGAGTCAACTTGAGTGAGCATGTTAAGTTTACAACCTAACTTGTTGTGACTCAAATTTAGCAAGCTATATCAAGCATCTGCAAGGAGGGCTCGACATAAAAAGCAAGCTATATCCTTCTCCTTTCTCTTTTTATATTTTTATTATAGGTTTTGCATGAAAGTTACTATTTATAATTGAAAATAATAAACATTACACAATCCATACATGGTTACTATTCATCTATGTAATTTGAATTTTTTATTCTTTATTGGTTAGTATTCATCTATGTAATTTGAATTTTTTATTCTTTATTAGTTTCACATTCATGATAACTTTGTTTCATAAAACTATATTCTTGCCCTTTTGCTTATGAATACTTATGTAAAAAATTCATTTTTTAAAGACCTTATCATATATGCATTATTTTATTTCACTCATATTTTTTATTATTTTATTTTATTTTTTATTTGCTTTATATTAGCGTTAGTTTTATTTAGTAAAAATGTACTTTTATCTTTTTTATCAGTCTATTTTCCATATTCCTTTAATTTTGAAGTTTTTATTTATGTTAGGTGCTTTATCATTAAAGAGCCTACCATTTATGACATTAGTTGAAGAGAAATATTAAAAACAATATGATTTTATATTATTGTTAAACTTTTTTATTAGTTTTTTTATTGATTATGGATTTTGATTTTTTTCTTTGTTAAAATCAATTTCATGCCTATTTAAAAACTTATAAGGCATAGCTTATTAGACTTTGAAATAAAAAAATAAAATTACATTTGTAAAAAATCTATTTCAATCATTTTATGCTTGTTGTTGTATTTATTATGCTTCCGACTGCATCATTCTTTCTTCACATAGTTTTATGATCTATTTCCCTTATTACAATCTTTATTACTTGCCAAATTTAATTAATATTTAATTAAATAAAATACTAAACTACATGAGTTTTTTATTGTAGCCCATCCATAGTGAAATATATTTAAGGCTACAGTGAAAATAACCCTTCATTCTTTAATCTTTAAAACTTTACTTGAGGAGTTGGATGATCTTTATACTTAATCAATTTGTTATTCTTGATTTATTTGGATAGCATCATCTTTTTATTTTTTTAATAATAATGCAATTATCATATTGTCCTTATAGAGTAAACAATCAATCAAAACTTTTGGTCCAAGGGATGTCGTATGGTAATTTCAATTTTATCATAAACAATTGAATTACACTTTAACCCTTACTATGCAAATTTATTGGCCTTAGCTTTAAAGGCTTGATTATCATTTTCTAGTGGTTTTTTTATTATTGTTATTTAGTTCTAGGGATATTTTTATTTTTCTTTAATTTTATGAACAATTGAATTATTTTATTACCCTTGGTATTGAATTTTTTTAGCCTTGGCTTTAAGGGCTTGATTATGATTTCATAAGAATTTGTTTTTTAATGTTGCTTAGTCATAGGGGTATTTTTAGTATTATGCACATAAATAAGACTACTAACACATGTTTGGCACACATCAAGCAACACATGCGACTGACAATAGTTGTTGAAATCAAACTTTCACCATATCATTTAATGTATTTTGACATCTTTTTTCTTTATGTGTGATGCATGTCTAGTAGTAATGTCTCATTTGGTGCTAATTGATTTTTTTTTTTGCTATTTTTTTTCTTGGATTATGTGTTGGCCATTTATAAAATTATATCAGCCCTTCAATTTCTTTTTTTTTTATTTAGTCATTCTTCTCTTAATTGCAATGATTTTATTTACATTGATTGTTTCTAATTAGATTTTATTTTTTATTTCATCCTAGGTTGTTTAATTTTGTTATTTTTTTTATTAAATTTATTCCTCATTCTTGTATTTGCTATTTTTTTATTTTTTATTTTTTTGTTGATTTATTTATTTTTCTTCAATTCCATCTTTGAGCATCTCTTTTCATTACATTTTTTTGTCAAGTTTGGTGCTAATTCTTTTAATTTTTTTTTAACCATTTTATTAGTTAATTTGTTTTTTTCAATTTCATTCTTAAACATTTAATTTCAATTATTTTTTGTGTTGAATTTAGTGCTAATTTTTTTAATTGCTATTTTTTTTGTTTTGCATTGTTGTTTTATTAACTTTTTTTTTCTTAATTTTAGCCGTCAATTTTTTTTGTTTAAAATCTTGTTTCTTTATTTTTTCAGGTTTGTCTTTGATAAAATCATCATGTCCAGGTTATAGATTTGAAAAATTAACTCGGGTCTATTTTGATTTTTTTTAAAAGCATTTTTAAAAACCTACTTTTTTATGCTAATTTTTTTTTTTGCTTTGCTATTTACAGGATAATCTGAATTTCAAATCCCCAATCATGTGTATGATTTATTCATTGAGGTTGGCTATCGAATATACTCAAGGCTCTCTCTTTTTTTTTTTTTTATCTTTTTTTATATATTTGCATCACATCAACAAGTGTTTATTCCTTATATTTTTCTAATGAGTTTTTCCTTTTATAATATTTTTTATGGTGTGAGTTTATTCAATCATTTTTATTTGTAATTATCATTTAAGCCATGAATTTTTTAGGATGGATATATCTTTTATTTATTTAAATAAAATATTTTAGTAAACAGAATCGGGTAAATATCTCACCTTTACAGTTTTTTTCGTGGTTATTGTTCATGAATTTTTTTATTTACGTAAATCATTATCGATTTATTTAGTTAGATAAATTCATAAGCTTTTCAAATGACACTTTTATTTTTTCATGTAAAAAACACATTGGAGCAGTTTGCATACCTGATTTAAAAAAAACAAAAATAGAACCTACATGCCAAATTCATGTTTTTAATGTTTTTATAGTTTTTTTTATTTACACTTCTTTTTAGAAAAAGTATTTTTTTTTTATGTTTTACACTTGGTCTATTTATACCAATTTTTATGTTTATTTTGTTATTCTTTTGTAATTTATTTTTTAATGTTTTGTTTATTTATGCCTTTTGTTTTTAGAAATTTATTCCAAACAAACTATGAAATTGATGTTTCATTGTAGTAATAGCAATATCATTTAATTTTCCAGTTAGGTTAAAAATTATTTTGAGATCTTATATATTTTTATTAATATATATATTTTTTATATATATAAATATCAAATTTATGATTCGCGGTTATATTTTTTGTTTAATATAAAAAAATATGTTAATAACATCTGCAGGTAGACAAATTAAATAGACAAGCCAACACTTTGTTTTTTGCAGACATAAATATTTCTCGTAAATTTTTTTATTTATATTTAGAATTTACAAAAATTAAATTAAAAAACTTGTATATTTTATTTTATTTTTACTTGAAAGATTTTTCCACCCGTGGCGAAATGTGGGTGGAGCTAAACTTGGTCTTACAATTAATTTCTTGACGTTCAACGGTTAATAGTTCATAAAGTCAATAAATCCAAAAAATATACTCAGTACTTATGTAGTTGGATTGAAATCCTCCTATTCTTTTTCTTCGAATAAAGAAGGCTATTCGTATAGGATAATGGCAGCCGTCATGAATTGAAATACTCAGCTATTAAGTACTTTTTCTTTTTCTTTTTTACCGAATCTCATGAACGGATGAATCCATTTATGAATGGAAATGATCATCTACTAATAAAAGATGAGGCAATTTTTTTGTTTTCGAAGGCAAGAGGAGGAGGATAAAATAAGTCCATGAGTGGGGTAGAGAACAATGCACATAACCGACTTCCTTGTAAATAATAGGTTTTGGATTACTTTATATGAATATTTTAGAGAATGTTTGAAATTTGTATCATTTTGGCCTTGATCTAATGGTTCTGGTGAACGAAATTGACGCTGTATATGTGAATTGGTTGGCAAGTGTCAAAAACTATAAATGAACGATCCATCTACCAGTTTGCTGCAATTTTGTCATGCCAGACTAGTAGCTAGACCAGTTTTTATAATTGATTTTGACCAATCACCATTCCCATATTATCTTCTCTTTTTTTAATTCTTGATATCTAGAACAGCTTATATATTTTGACTAATCTCTCTAGATGTTGAAGTTAATAACTAGATAATATTTCAATAATTATAAAGTTTATGATACTCAAATTAGTAATATGAAGAATAAATCTAAAACCTAACTAATTGAATTATATCTAGGGATTATCCACTGCAGCTTAAAACCATTTCATTCCACAACAAGAAATTATCTTAAATTTGTGAACATACATTTTTTTCATAATTGAGACAGCCGATTTAAGAGTGCCAGAACGATGTTTGTGCTGCTGCAGGTGCAGTACTTAAAAGTATTAATCAGAGAGCTTTTTCAAGAAATGAAGGCCAGCTTCAAGAAGATATTCGAAGAGAGCCCATAAGGCAAGCCCCACTCGTAAAAAACATAAGATCTTTTACACACATTTACACACAACAAAAGAGAACCACGTTTTTCGTGTTAGATTGACTGGTAGATGTCTCGGGCTCTCTGCCTGTGCGCCACTCACAAGTCCAGGGATATGAATAGCAGATGATCACCTACCCAAAATAGTTTGGTGCTACGAGAAAGATATGAACAAGTGGTACAGTTTTAACTACCATAATACCCTTTACAGTTCCTATGATTCAATCACTTCCAAACTCAAAAGTCGTTTCGGTCACTTTGAAAATTCAGATCATGTTACCCCTCCCTCCAATTTTTAATGCAAACGGCGGAAAGTGAGAGATGAGGACGTTTTTCCTGAGCTGACTGGTAGGCTTGGTCGGGCTTGTAGTTTTTCACCTTATAAATTCTCCATATAAAATTGCAGTGTAGACAGATCAGAAAAATCAATGTTATCAGAGATGGAATATTTCAAGAAATCCCAAATGGTTCATCTAATTCTCTTGCTTCTAGCTGGGCTAACATGCGTGTCTTCTAGCCTCCCTAGTGAGTACTCTATAGTTGGCAATGACTTGAGTGAGCTTCCACCAGATGAAAGCATCATTGAAATCTTTCAACGATGGAGAGATAGGCACCAGAAGGTTTACAAACATGCAGAAGAGGCAGAGAAGAGGTTCGGGAATTTTAAGAGGAACTTGAAATATATAATTGAGAAAACAGGAAAGGAAACAACTCTGAGGCATAAAGTGGGGTTGAACAAATTTGCTGATTTGAGCAATGAGGAGTTCAAGGAACTTTATCTGTCAAAGGTGAAGAAACCCATCAACAAAAGGAGGTTTGATGCAGAAGACAGGAGTCGGAGAAACTTGCAGTCGTGCGATGCACCTTCCAGCTTGGATTGGAGGAAGAAGGGAGTTGTCACTGCTGTTAAGGACCAAGGAGACTGCGGTAAGCTTCCCTCGATAAATTCATGCAATTAAGGAAGATTTATAATAGGAAATGCCGCTGTCTATCGAGGGATTTTACTACAAACCTTCGATCGTAAAATGTCAGCAAGTACAGATTAATTTATATAATGCTAAATGTAAATGATTAATCAGATGTTTCGATATTTATCATCCCTAAGCCGAGAAAACATTAGTTTGAGAAGTTGGGTCATTTTTAATAAATCCTTATGTTTTTTATTTGCTTAATTTCCTTCCTTAAATTTCGCAAGCATAAATATGTGTGATAGAAATAGCATTATGTATGTTTGATGTTGTGTTTTAAAAATATTTTTTTATTTTAAATTAATATATTTTTATTTTTTTCTAATTATTTTAATATATTGTTCTCAAAAATATTTTTTAAAAAATAAAAAAATATTATTAATATATTTTTTAAAATAAAAAATATTTTAAAAAACTTTCATAACTATTCTCAAGCACAATATTATAATTTCAAAAAAGGAAGCTAGGCCTTAAAACAAACCTTTGGACCTGAATTGTTTTATTGAATTTCTGTTTTATATTAAAATTTAATGTTTTTATTTTAAATATTTTTAAATTACTTTAATATTAAAAAATATTTTTTAAAAAAAAAACCACTGCTTTTGTACGCATCGAAATCCAATCAAGTGGCCATATTCTGTCTTTGACCGGTGGGCAAATACAGTCCAATCATTATTATTCCCCGTTTTCTAAGTGCATAATATCATGTCATTTATCGAGAAATAGAAAATGATTGGCGTGGCTTGTTTTCGGCTTCACATGCTCTACTCTCGAAGTCAGAGGATGGAAGAAGGATTCTCTTCTTGATATACATGGAATGTCATTTGCCCATCCAACGACATGTGCCTCGAACAAGCCAAAGAATGTGTTTGTTTTCACGTTTGAATTTGTATTTAATTTTTTTTTTCATTTAAAAAAATATAAAACTGATATTTACTTTAAATGTATTTTGGATAGTTTTAATGTTAAAATTTTTTAAAAATTATATATTTTTAATTGACAAATATTTTTTATGAATACCATTCACGTATTATCAAATGCAAATATTCTAAAGCTAAGAATGAGTAGTAATTACTTACCAAAAATATTTAAGAATATATTTTACATTAATTATGAAAAAATATTTTTTATTTTAAGTTGTAATTTAAAAGGATGCATTTTATAAATAAGTTGTGTGTTAAAAATGAGTAAATTTAGATGTATATTTGATAAAAATTGACTTAAAATGATTTTTAAGGGAAGAGAGATCCTACAAGTTAGAATCTTTAAATAAATTTTTTTTTAAAAATGGATAAAAAGCAAGATCTTGAAATAAACTTGTTTATTTAAGTTAAAGTTAAGTCTAATCAAACAAATTTATGATTTTTCCTTAAATAAAAACTCAAGAGCAACTTAAATCAAAATCCAAAAATCATGTAAAAAATAACCTTAAGTAGAATATCTCAATATTCAGTACATGAATTTCTAGTATTTAATTACTAAAGTTTTAGTTATGCTATTCTATTTCTCGCATTTCTTAATTACAATGTTATGTCAAAAAAGGAAGGAAAATTCATTCTGAGTTTCCCCACATCCAATGTTATCCGATTTATGTCTTGACATGCTTGTGTGAGAAAACAATAATGTGGTCTGGACATGAAATGTTCCCAGGAAGTTGTTGGTCATTCTCCACAACTGGAGCCATAGAAGGAATAAATGCCATTGTCACTAGCGACCTCATTAGCCTCTCAGAGCAAGAGCTTGTAGACTGTGATACAACCAATTATGGGTGTGAAGGAGGCTATATGGACTATGCTTTCGAATGGGTTATAAACAATGGTGGAATCGATACAGAAGCTAATTATCCGTATACAGGAGTTGATGGTACCTGCAACACAGCCAAGGTTTGGTCCCCCTGTATCAATATAACCTCTTGATGTTGATTTATACTCAGTAGGTTAAGTTTACAGGAATATTAGTTAACGTTTTTACTTCACGAAAATTCTGAATGTATCTAATTTGTCTCATTGATGGTGTTTCTGCTTGATTAGGAGGAAATAAAAGTTGTATCCATTGACGGGTATAAAGATGTAGATGAAACGGACAGTGCACTCTTGTGTGCTGCTGCTCAACAACCCATTAGTGTTGGTATGGATGGTTCTGCGATAGATTTCCAACTATATACTGGTGTAAGTATCTCTTCTCTGTCGTACGTCTTTGGAAATTAAGATTCTTGATCAAAAGCGGGTGATAAAAGTAGACTGTTATGACTTGCTCAGGGAATCTATGATGGTGACTGCTCTGATGATCCAGATGACATTGATCATGCTGTTTTGATAGTTGGCTATGGTTCAGAAAATGGTGAAGATTATTGGATAGTGAAGAATTCGTGGGGCACATCATGGGGAATTGAAGGATATTTCTATATAAAGAGGAACACTGATTTACCTTATGGTGTATGTGCAATCAATGCAATGGCCTCATATCCAACAAAAGAAGCTTCTGCACCATCTCCAACTAGTCCTCCATCGCCTCCGTCGCCACCGCCACCGCCTCCACCTCCACCTCCACCAACACCAGTGCCACCTCCCCCCTCCCCTCAACCAAGTGACTGTGGAGACTTCTCCTACTGCCCGAGTGATGAGACTTGCTGTTGCATTCTTAAGGTCTTTGATTACTGTCTTGTCTACGGTTGCTGTGCATATGAGAATGCTGTTTGCTGCGCCGACTCTGTGTACTGCTGTCCCAGTGATTACCCCATTTGTGATGTTGAAGAAGGGCTCTGCATCAAGGTAAAGAAATGATAAATGATAAGCTATCAATTCAAAGTCCTTTTAAATCATTAATCAGTATTTTATTAAATTATATGGCGATAAAGGAAAGATGATTTATGAAAATCTCACGTGTGTGTGTGACAGGGCCAGGGAGATTATCTGGGAGTGGCTGCAAGCAAACGACATATGGCTAAGCACAAGTTTCCCTGGACCAAGTTGCAGGAAAGAACGAAAACGGACCACCGTGTTCTACAGTGGAAGAGGAACCCCCTCGCTGCAATGCGCTGAAGAAAATGGAACATATGAATGTCGTCGTTGCTCTTGCCACCACGTCTTTTCCTTTTGCAGGCATTTGGCCATGTTCTTATGCACGCAGCAGGTAAAAGCAGAACAAAGACGGTACAGGGGAAGACGATACAAGGGAAACTATGTTTTTTCCGATCTTCTGGGACAAGAATTTCAATTCTCATTGGGACTTTGTTCTTTAAATATTTTTTTTTCTTGAGTCATATTTACTGTTGTGTTGCTACTAAATCTCTTTCCCAATTTTATAAACAACTGGACTAGTCCAAGCCATTGAATCCTTGGCCGTAAAGCTCTAGGCAATTGTGAAAAATCACATGAACAAGGGAACAATTAACTAACAGAAAGTCATAGGGGCCATGAGAATCCACCAGGTTTACAATCTCGTACAAAACGATTCCAGCAGAGCGGTTCATTTAGCAAAACAGTGAGTGGGAACTTGGTTGATGCTAGTTCGGATTATGGCTTTGCCAATTGAGGACATAACCCAAATAAATATGGCATCAGGCTAAGCCCAATAATATTGATATGAAGGGGCATCAAACCAGGCCCAAAATGACCATGCACTGCACCAGTGTCCGTTCGCTGTGTGGAAGTTAATTAAAGCAGAATAAAAGAGACCAAGGGAAATTGAGATTAGTATGACTTGCAAGTGCAAGTTCCCTGCTTTTTTTCATCGTATTAGCAGAAGTCTTCAATTTAACATATACAGAATATATGAGCCCAGGAAAGAATTTAGAAGAAGTTGTCCAAAATCAGTCCTTACCCTAACGAAGGCAGAGGCCGAGGGAGAGGTTTATACTCTGAAGATCTCCCACCTCGAGTTTGAATCTCTCTTCGATGTGATGGTGGCATTTGACAGCGAGAATGTTCTGATCACATCAATGTCCTCCACTCGGCGCTCGCTGTAACTGTAAAGTGGCAGGGATTTTGTACAAGAACGCCCTTTTCTTTTTAATGGATTTAAAACCTCTTTATCAATATAGTGCATTCATGAAAATTTAATAATTTTTCTACATGCTAGTCCTAAAGTTTGAACCTAAAAGGTTAAGAAATGAAGCCAGCTTCTTTAACCAATTAGCCAATATATTATGAAAATATGACAAATTGTAAGTGGTTAATTACATGGCTAATTAAGCTTAAATCTAATTTTATTTTTTATTATGTTTTGACCAAAGGGTAATTTGATATTAAGTTTATATCTAATTATTTTTTAATTTTAGTTTTGTCCGGTAAGGTTTTTTTTAACTCTTAATGTACCATCGGTGAATTTAAATATTATAATCATGGTTGAAGAAAGGAACTCCAAAGAGATATCTCAAGCTCAAAGAGTATGCGCATTATCTATTTGATTGTAGTTATGGCTATTATAAAATATATTTGGAGATTCCAAATTTATCCACAAACTTATTCATTAATTTCCATCCACCTATCTCCAAACCAAACAATGTTTATCTTAATTGGGTCATCAATAGATCAAAATTCTCAAATGGGTTTTAACAGAAAACATTAAATTCTCTTAATTAAACCATGGATGAGAGTATCCAATTGAGAATTTCTAAAAGATAAAGCACTAATTAGGATGGGCTGGACATGCTCGATGTTACCCGTGTATTAAGGAAAGGGCTCCGAGGGGTCCAAAACGTCCCGACGCTGCATTCGGGGTCCCAAATTTCCTGATATTTCCTTCAGCTGAGATATGAATTGGGTGATGGCGGGCAGGCGTTGTCCGGCACCGACTGTAAATGGTGGGGTACAAGAGTGTTGTGTCTTCTTTCTAACAAAAGATTACAAAGCGAATTTGCTCTTTCGTCCGTCTCTCTCTCAATTTGGCACGGAAACTATTTCAAAGCCCAACCAAGAAGCAAGCAATTCCATGTTTCATACGCTGCAAAGGTATATTAATTGCTGTATGAATCCTTGGCCAGCACAATTTACATACAAGTTCAGGGAATATCAATTTGAAAGGATCCCTTCTTCCCATGTTTTTTTTTTCTTGTTTCGAATTAATTTAAGATGAATACAAATAAACCCAAGAAATTGTAGCTAACAGCGGTAGAGAGACATCATGGGGAAGAAAGCGGAGTTCTAAATTGGGATTGTCCACGTGGAAATAAATCTTTATGCAACCCAAACAATGGATAAAAAATGGTTTAGCATTAAAAAAAATATTTATTGAATCAATCCCTCACAATCCAAGTTAATTTGTACAATTCTAATCATAAATATAACTACAATAAACTAATTTAGTTGGGTTATTTATCTCTTTCTTTTTTCTTTTTCTTTTTTGATTGAGCCTTTATTAAACTTTAACATGATAAGATTCATAACCAAACTAAAGAGTTATTAGAAAATCAAATAATAGATTAAAAAGAAACTAATTTGCGTGTGCAACTCACATGTTAGTAATTGAGGAAGGCCATTGCATTATAATAGGTAAAAATATCCTAAAAATGCTAAAAAAATTCCAAATAAAATAAAAATAAGAATCATAAATCCACTAAAAAATTAATACAATTATCACACAATATCTTCTAAATTTTATTGCAAGGACTTCCTAATACTTATTACTAGTAATGAAATTTTAATTTCATATAAAACAAGACCATTAAAATCTTTAGAATCTTATGGTGAAATTCTAACCTAATCCAATAGTTAGTTAAAGAATTGTGTTTATCAATGTAAAATTATGTATTAAAAAATATAAGCTCAAAACTGCTTTTAATATTCTTAAATAATAAAAAAAAACCTTGTCAAATAAAAAGCCATCAAAATTAAAAGAAATACAAGTTGCTATATAGAAACTCTTGCTAAAACATTCTCAATTGTTGCCACTTATATTGTTTTTGTAAAAACAAAAATTCTTATTAAATAAAAAATTCACAAATTATTATTAAACAATAAAAAAAAATTAACAATTTTTGGCAAATATTGTGGTGTCTTACCAAATTTCAATTGATTTGACACTTTAACTTTATATGAAATATAGCTTTCAAAAGTTTTTGGTAAAATTTTAATATGATTCAAAATTAAATTAAAAATTATACTTGTTAATATATTAACATATTAAAAAAATTAAGCCAGAAACAAATCTAATTGTCCAAAATTAAGCCAGAAACAAATCTAATTGTCCAATCTTTATGTAAATCAGAAAAAACAAACGAGAGATTCTCAATTGTTGCCACTTATATTGTTTTAGTAAAAAGAAATTCTTACTAAATAAAAATTTCACAAATTATTAATAAATAATAACAAAAAAAATTTAACAATTTTTGGCAAATATCGTGGTGTCTTACCAAATCTCAATTGATTTGATACTTTAACTCTATATAAAATTATTTAACATAAATTATCGACAATTTATGTAATTCAGTGAAATTAACGAGGCAGGAGCAATGGAGGATTGCAGGGTTGTCTTTGTTTAAGTCAACATTAAAATCTTCCTTAAATCATGGTCAACAGCGGCAGACGATGGAATCAATGAGGAGAGGCAAGACATTTAGAGATATAAATTTGCATCCATGTTAGTGGAATGGTTTGTGTCCGCAATTTGAGGGAACCTAACGAGAGGACATCGGGTGAGAAAGAAGACATTTTCAAATGTACTTTATTAAGTTAGGTATAATTTAGACAAAAGTTGCCCTAACCATGTGTTCTGTCTTTTTTCTTCTTCTTTTCCGTATTGCTCTTTCTCGGATCTAGTTAAGATTTCATTTCATTTTATTTTTTTTGCTTTCTACTTTGCCATTTTGGACTTATTCACGTATTTATATTCTTTATTTTATTTATTTTATTATTCTTATTTATTTGATATTGTATTTCTACTTGTATTTTTGTGAGTCTTAAAAATATTTTTATCTTAAAAAACATTAAAATAATATTTTTTTAAAGTCTTTCAATAATTTTAACATGCTCAATAAAAAAACACCCCCATATATTTAAAAAAAATAAAAACATCATGTAATACATCATTAAACTTTCTCATATATTTTTTAAAAAAATTAAAAACATCATGTAATACATCATTAAACTAGAAATCAAATGTAATCATATGTGTGATTCACTAGCATTTTGAAGGGTAGGATTTGGACTTACATAGGCTAATCAGGGAAATGTGGCCAGACTCATGATCAAGTTCTGGACAATTGAAAATGCTCAGTAAGAATAGTTAGGGTGACTTAGAATGTTCCCTGATATTAAAAAATAAAAAATAAAAAATATTATTTTAATATATTTTTAAATAAAAAATATTTTAAAAAACAATTATGATTATTTTCTCAAACATCCTCTTAAAATTCTAATAATTCTAGAGAGTATATTCCTTCATTCTCCTGAAAATATAATGTCAACCCATTCCTTTACATGAAAATCTTATGTTTGGTGTTTAGATTCAATACTTTTTTTATTAAAATTTAGATTTTTTATAATATTTTTTGAATTATTTTTATATGTTTTTAAAAATAAAAATTATATATTATTTTAATATATTTTTAAATAAAAAATATTTTAAAAATCAACCTCTCCCCGCACTCCAAGTCGACTATCTTTCTCAAAATTCATAAATATCTTATTTATTATCTTTTCACTATTCACTCATTTAAGAGTTTATCTCTCCATCATGATTTTCCATTTTTTCGCGCCAATTATTTCCCAAGTTTCTGTACTCTCCGGGTATTCTTATCCCTTGACACGTATATTTTGGATAGCACGGCACAGGAAGTAATCTCACCATAGGTACCACTTGTCAGATCACCCCCTAACTAATAAGTACTTTTAGCCCTCACTTGCCGCAACATTCTCTCACTTTTCAAAGCCTCTCTCTGGCGTGCCTCTTCTCCTCCAATGCAAAGCTCCACACAGAATTGTCCCCTTCTCCTCCTCAGAGTTTCGAAACCGGCCCGGTAAAGTGGGGTGATCCGAGATCCGGCTGACTTAAAAAAAAACTTGATATAACTTGACTGACCTAGCAAGTTGATCCAGTTAAAAATCAATTAATTTTTTGTTTTTTGTTTTTTTTATTAAAATAATATCATTTTAATTTTTTTTAAAAATAAAATTTAATTCATCAACCCAATAACCTAATCAAAATCCTGATCCCGCCTTGAACCGGGCCGGGTCTTAAAATCATGCTGCTCCTTCTCCTGTGATGATCCATCGCATCTGGAAATGCTCTCAATAGCTATCCATTTCACACTTGGTAGCCATGTGTTTATCTACTCTTTTGAGAGGTTATCGTGGTGTTCATCTTTTATGGAGACATAATATACCCTTACTTATTTTATTTTATTTTTA